CACGGGGGGGAATGGGGGTGAGGGGGGCTGCCACATAGGGAGCCACGGGGGTAACGAGAGGAGGGGGCCCGGCCTTGCCAAATACGGAGCCGTTAGGGATAATGAGAGGGAAAGGGCTGATGCCACATATGGAGCCACAGGGGACAATGGGGCGGGGGGTGTTGCTATATAGGGATTTGGGGTTGAATTCCTGGGATTTTGGCGCTGAATCCTGGAATTTTGGGGCCAACCCCTGCCATTTGGGGCTGAATCCTGGAATTTCGGTGCCGATACCTGGGATTTGGGGCTGAATCCCACAATTTTGGGGCCAATCCCCGGCATTTTGGGGCCGAATCCCGCAATTTTGGGGCCAACGCCTGCCATTTGGAGCTGAACCCTGGAGTTTGGGAGCCGATACCCGGAATTTGGGGCTGAACCCCGGAATTTCAGGGCTGAATCCTGGAACTTTGGGGCCAGTTCCTGGCATTTGGGGCTAAATCCCTGGGATTTTGGGCCAATCCATGGGATTTCGGGGCCCATCCCTGAGATTTTGGGCCCATCCCTGCTGGGATTTCGGGGCAATCCCTGGGATTTTGGGCCCATCCCTGGGATTTTGGGCCCATCCCTGGGATTTCAGGGCCCATCTCTGGGATTTCGGGGCAATCCCTGGGATTTTTGGGCCAATCCCTGGGATTTTTGAGCCAATCCCTGGGATTTTGGGCCAATCCCTGGGATTTTTGAGCCAATCCCTGGGATTTTGGGCCAATCCCTGGGATTTCGGGGCCGAATCCCTGGGATTTTGGGCCAATCCCTGGCATTTCGGGGTCAATCCCTGGGATTTCAGGGCCCATCCCTGGGATTTTGGCCCCATCCCTGAGATTTTGGGCCCATCCCTGGGATTTGGGGGCCGAATCGCGCCATTTCGGGGCCGACTCCCGGCATTTCGCCCCCCGCAACCGCCGCTCGCCGCCTGTCCCCGCAGCCCAGGACTACGAGGAGGCGGTGCGCCTGTACAGCGAGGCCATCGCGCTGTGCCCGGCCAACGCGGTGTACTAYGGCAACCGCAGCCTGGCGCACCTGCGCGCCGAGAGCTACGGCTACGCGCTGGCCGACGCGACGCGCGCGCTGCAGCTCGACGCCGCCTACGTCAAGGGCTACTACCGCCGCGCCGCCAGCAACATGGCGCTGGGCCGCTTCCGGGCCGCGCTGCGCGACTACGAGACGGTGCGGGCCGGCGGGGCTGCCGCGCGGTGTTGCGGGGTGTTGCGGAGCGAGAAAGGGGTGTTGTGGGGTGTTGTGGGGTGAAAAAGGGGTGTTGTGGGGTGTTGTAGGGGTGCTATAGGGCGAAAAAGGGGTGTTGTGGGATGTTGTGGGGGTGCTACCGGGTGAAAAAGGGGTCTTGTGGGGTGTTGTAGGGGTGCTACCGGGTGAAAAAGGGGTGTTGCGCGGTGTTGTGGGGGTGCTACCGGGTGAAAAAGGGGTGTTGTGGGGTATTGTGGGGGTGCTACCGGGTGAAAAAGGGGTCTTATGGGGTGTTGTGGAGGTGCTACAGGGTGAAAAAGGCGTGTTCTGGGGTATTGGGGTGCTACGAGGCAAAAAAGGGGTGTTTTGGGGGTTTTTGGGGTGTTGTGGGGTGTTGTGGGGGTGCTACAGGGTGAAAAAGGGGTGTTGTGGAGGTGCTACAGGGTGAAAAAGGGGTGTTCTGGGGTGTTGGGGTGCTACGGGGCAAAAAAGGGGTGTCCTGGGGTGTTTTGGGGTGTTGCAGGGTGTTGTGGGGTGTTGTGGGGGTGCTACAGGGCAAAAAAAGGGTGTTGTGGGGTGTTGTGAGGTGTTGTGGGGGCACTGCAGGGTGAAAAAGGGGTGTTGTGGGGTGTTGTGGGGGAACTGCAGGGCGAAAAAAGGGTGTTGTGGGGTGTTGTGGGGGCACTGCAGGGCGAAAAAGGGGTGTTGTGGGGTTCTCTGGGGTGTTGCGGCGATGCTACAGTCGTACCGGGGGGTGTCGCAGGGTGCTGCGGGGTGTCGCTGCGGCGCTACAGGCCCCAAAAGGGTGTTGTGGGGTTCTCCAGGGTGTCACAGTGATGCTCCAGCCATACCCGGGGTGTTGCGGGGTGCGCTGGGGTGTCACTGGGACACTACAGCSCAACCGAGAGCGGTTGCGGGCTGCTCCAGGGTGTCACCGCGAYGCCGGGGTTGTTCTAAGGGGTGTTGCGGGGTCCTGCCCACATCCCCTTGTCCTCCTGTGTCCCCAAACCTGGAGRTCCCTGGAGTGCCCGTGTCCTCTCATCCTTCCTTGTGTCCAAAGCTGGAGGTTCTTCGAGGCCGTTCAYGGACCTCCCCATGTCCCCTCGCTCTCCTGTATCTCCAAATACAATGTTCCTCAAGGTTCTCTATGTTCCTTGGTGACCTCCCCGCGTCCCCTCGTCCTCCTGCACCTCCCAACCCGGAGGTCCCCCCCGTGCCCCTTGAGGAGCTTCCCATGTCCCTTCATCCTCCCGTATCTCCAAACCTTGAGGTCCTTCAAGACCCTCCGTGTCCCTTGAGAACCGCCCCATGTCCTCTCATCCCTTCGTCCTCTTCTGTCTCCAAACCATGAGGTCCTTCAAGACCCTCCATGTCCCTTGAGAACCGCCCCATGTCCCCTCATCCCTTCGTCCTTTTCTGTCTCCAAACCTTGAGGTCCTTCAAGACTGTCTCTGTTCCTCAGTGCACTCCCCATGTCCCCACATTCTCCACCTCCAAACCTTGAGGTCCCTCAAGACCCTCTGTGTCCCTTGGGGTCCTGTCCATGTCCCCATGTCCTGCATCTCCCAACGCGGCGGTCCTCCCCGTGGTGACGCGGTGGCCGCGCAGGTGGCCAAGGTGCGGCCGCACGACCGCGACGCGCGCCTCAAGCTGCAGGAGTGCAGCCGCATCGTGAAGCAGAAGGCCTTCGAGCGCGCCATCGCCAGCGACCCRCGCAAGCGCTCCGTCGTCGACTCGCTCGACATCGAGAGCATGAGTGAGGAGCGGGCGCTGCCGCCGCGGGGGGCCCGCGGGGTCTTCAGGGGGGTCCTGGAGATGTTGGGAGGTTCCTATGGGGTCTAGGGGGTTCCTGGAGCTCCTCGGAGGTTCCTATGGGGTCTAGGGGGTTCCTGGAGCTCCCGGGAGGTCCCTGCGGGGTCTTCAAGGGGGTTCCTGGAGGTCCTGGGAGGTTCCTGTGGGCTCTGGGAGGTCTTTGGGAGGTCCTGGGAGGTTCCTATGGGGTCTAGGGGGTTCCTGGAG